GAATTTGTCATTTCATGTGTTTATAAATAAATATAAATACCTAACTAAATATGAAACATAACTAAATGTTGTTATAATTTTGGTTTATTTACTATTTTTAAGCAAATGTAAATCTATTTAATATTCTWTAAATAAATATATATTTAAAAAAAATTTATATAATGTTTTTATTGTTTTTAGTAAAATGTTGTTTTAATTTGGTATAAATAATAAATAATTAAATACAAGAACCGAAGAACCGGCAAAAAAAAATTTCATATTTTGAGATTGTGCTGTAGTACAACTATGGTAGTAGGCTTATTTRTCGTAGAAGATTATATTTGCATTGGTGGTTCTGCGATTTAAAATGACACGTGTGAGTTTGCATCTAGMTATTTCTAAAGTATTCAGCAGTTAAACATACAGCTCCCATGGGACTTTCTGAAAGAAGTGTAAGAAGAATCTTGCACAGGAATGCTTCAGATGCACCCATACTAAAAATGGTATAGTGTTTATAATTCAAAAATAAAATAATTTTTTCTGTATCTGTTTGTTCATTTGTAACAGCTATTTGAAAAACGGGTGGGTTTTTTGCCGTACCCTGTATTTATTGAGCACAAATAAGGTATAAATCTTATTAATGATAATTTTTCAATTCTTTATATTTATTTATACATTTTTATACTTCATAAATTGATTAGCCAACATTGCCAATCATATCAAAATATTGCCCCTCGAAGACTTAGAAAAATGGATTTCAAAATCATGAAGAGACTTTGAAGAGCCTGGAGCTGCGTAAGTAAACTACATTTTGAATAATTATTAATATAAGTAAATATTTTCAATAAAACTAACACTAGTGAATCATCTATTTGGTAAAACTTCTATGTATGCAGAGAACTTGATGAGTAGAATTTATTTTGTTTGATTCTATAAATATTTAATAATATTTCAATATAATAATTATAAGTCTATGCAACAAATTTTAATAAAGAATAAAAAAATGTAGTAACATATTATCTGTTTACAAAAATGTTTTTATTATAAGGATTTTTGTTCAATGGAAAATTGTTTCTATATTGTTKATCTTCCAATCAATGTTCAACTAATATGAGGCTATGGGAGTACTGTTGGACAAAGCGAAATTTTAAGTCCATTTAAAACATATTTTATACAGTATAATATTGTATGTTTATACCATAATTATATCCCCCCTGCCATGTAATTGACATTGAACCATAATGAAAATAATTTATATTCATACCGATGGGTACTTTCTTGAGTTATAATATCTACACTGTGTTGAATTTTAAATAAATGTACTTGTATATCCAAAGTATGACTTATGGCAAAATAGATTTTTAATTGATGAAGACGTACGACGTATGTTCAGATAAACTTAATCATGAATTCAAAAATGAGAATGACCACCCCATTACCCCAAGTGTATATTCGAAAAAACAGTGACAATAATAATAATAAATAACGATGTTTTGGTTTTTGAACGCATTGGCGTAAGGCGGGAAAAATTGTATCAAACAACAGATAGCGCGACGATCGTGCCGGGCCCGCGAACGCGGTCATCGGTGCTCACCGATGACTATCCGCCATTTTCCGGCGGCTGTTTGTGTTTGTCTCGCGCACACACAACAGTTTCGGCCGCCGTCTAGCCAACATAACCTGATTGTGTAGCCGCCGACGCCGCCGCCGCCGCCGCCGACACCACCACACTGCTATCCGTTACGACCGCGACGACTGACCACCGTTGTTGTTCCGCAAGTGCGTACCGCGTACGACGATCTGTCCGTGTTCATCCGCCACCCGTCGAAATTTCGATCGTTTTTTTATTCTCCACGCACGCCGTTTAGTTTTTGTGTGTACCGGTAAAAGACGCCGCCGCCGCTACACACAACGCGCGCTATAATACACRATAAAATTTAATATACGTACAATAAGGTAATATCCGCTATTGTTTGTTATTTTTATTATCGTGTTATTATCATCGTTCGCCGACCGGATCCCGCGATCCGATGCTTGGACGAGTTCGTGCGCGCCATTTCACAACGACGATACGATATTGCGGTCGCGCGCCAACGTGAATCCGGTGCATTATTTTAGTGCACGACGACGACGACGACGCGTCCCCGTCGCTTGGCGTGCGTGTGTGTGTTTGATCGAGTGTGAGTGTGTGTGTTTGCGCGCGTGGTTATCATCATCGTCGACGTCGGCCTGCCAACAACGCGGACGCTGCTCGCACGGCTAATATCGTCGCCGACAACTCGCCGTTACAACAGCATCAGCGACGTGATCGACGAACAACAAGGTAAGTCTCAATGTCATATTGTTATTGGTTATTGTTGTGTTCCGCGTTTGTTTTGATTGTAGTTACACGCGCCTGCTTGCGGGGTACCTATTGCGCGTTCCTACGGCGTAACGTTGCAGATTAGCGACAGTTGTTGTGTAACGATGTGTGGAAGTGCGGTGCATATTCTAGCCGGTGTGCGTATTTTCGTCCACCGCCTCGCGGTGTGGCCAAACGAGAACGGGCAAAAAAATATTAATCGCATCGGCCAACCTCCACCACCTCCTCCCCGCCGTCAATCGGTGCTCYGAGATGTTTTCCACGATATTTTATTTGCTCTTGTCTAAATTTCGCGCACAAATTAATAATACAAACTTATTGTTTTTCGGGAGGGAGGGGGTCTCGGCCGATAAGGTGTTTGTACGATCGTCGATGGTTTGTGGGTGGTAGGGGAGCGACGACGACGACAGGTACGTTCGATCCGAAATATTTTATGATTTTTACGATGTGATCGTGCGGCGGTGTGCATAGTACCGTTTAATGTTATATTTTCTGCAATACACATAATTATATCAGTCGACCTTCCGATTAGGTACTATATATATATATATATATATGTTTATGCTCGTGGTTTGTGATAAGTCTCGACGCGTCAATCCAGAACTTAATCACTTGACCTTCTACAACTATATATTGTTGTTGGTAATTGACAACGTCGTCGTGTTTCACATGTGCTTCCGATAAACCGCAACCGGTATGTGATTTATTTTTGGTGGGAATTGGGCGGCGTACAATGTTTTCGCACACCTTAAAAATCGWCSGCGTGCAGGTAATTTCAAATGTGACCATTTCGCGGCGGGTCAACGTGATCGACGTTAATCTTGGGCATATCATTATGAACGTGATATATTTCTGAATATATTATTAATCCGTTTAAATACGATGGTGTGGACAATATTAACATCCCCTACCCATCTCGTTGTTTTTATTATACTATATATAACGATGACTGAAAATCACGCGTTTTCGAGTCTCGTCCACGCGACGTATTTTTCCCTCGAAAATCACAATACTYGTGTTGATAAATTCCAGTGATTCTTAGTATATCGTTGGCGCGTCATTATTAGTAAATATTAATTGGTCTTTGATCATAATAATAATCCGTTCTCAATTGAAAAACCGCTGATAGTGCTGTTCAAACATCACTAGTTCAGTAATAATAATTAATTGTTATTGTACGTAATTTTTTTACGAAGGTTTGCACATTTTTTATATATATATATATATACACATGATAAAGTGTGGAGATTGTTATGTGTTACATAAAAAGTACACGCGGCTGATGAATAAAAAAAAAAGCTTAGTCGTCCCGACAGCGTTTCGCGATTATCCTTAATGCTGACTGTAAAGGGTGTGGAGTAGGGAAATTTGCTTACGTCGGTGTTTCCTTCAAACCGATTACACTGCTCTGAAACATTTAACGTTTATAGTTATACACATTAAATTACTATTGTTTATTACACCGATCTATATAGGTGATATATATATTATATTATTTTTTTTAACACTGCTATCGCAGTAACATTTATGATATAGCATAACAATATTATTCATGTTATTTCAGTCGTGATGCCATCCTCGATATTCTATGATGTCATTGCGTATACTCGCGTTTGTCGTTCTATCCGATAAAACCTCARTAGTCGTCTATCACCAATAAAATTGTTTTTTTTTTTCCGGAAACTATTGATATTACTAATTATTATTATAAAGGGACGAAATCATCATCCCTCAGTGGTAATAAACAACAACACAATAACGATATTAGCTACCGCGTGACATTATTATTATTATGTGCGATTGCTGCATAGATTTTGATAATGATTGTTAAAAGTGGTCGTCGTCAAGGCAAACTGTAATACCGTATAGATGTAATATGTAATAACCACAATTGGTGGCGGCCGACCGGCGGTGGTAATTGAGGCACCATAAATGGAAGGGCGACGGTGATGACAATGCGAAAAGAGCGCGCGCGTTTTAACTGGTCTGCACGGCTGGCTGGCACGACGACGCGACTCGATTTCGTGATTGTCGGACCGGTGWGGAGGAGGGGCGGGCGCGGGGCTTCGCTGGACGTAACCGTCATCCGTTCGGCGGCGGCCCACGTCTTCAACATCGCGTACCCAGAGAACACGCACGCACCGCTGCCGCCGCACCACCGGCCCTCTCACCGGCGGTCGCGTTTCTCCGCCGCCCCTGTCTAGTGTAGAAGTGTATAATAGTGTATGGTATTCACTTTCGTGATCGCGGCGTTACCGACCTGTGCGCGTGTGTGTGCCTGCGCGGCGTCGTTCACACCGGGACACACCACGCGTGCACGCCGCCCGCCAGTCGTTGTTTCCTCGTGGAACGCCGACCGCCGCCGCCGCGGCCGCTGA